AGCAGTTGCAGTAGCACAGTGTCTGTATGAATGTCCTAGGGCTGCTTTAGAGAACTTAACACTTACTACTTAAACTCTTGTTCCAGTGCTTAAATGCTGACAGTCGTAAAATATAATGAAATACTGAATATGATAGGGTGTGTTTGATAAGAGCTGTTCAATATTATTCAGACAATTACTTTATTGACATTCAGCTTCAGGCAAAGAGACTTCAATGCAGGAAATATTCTGGAAATATGGGAACTCTTTTTTAATTTTGAAGGAATACATTGTCTATTTCGAAGACATACCAAAAATAAAAAACAGGATTGAGTTGAAATTTTTGGGGGGTAATATGTATTTCTTATTATTTTGCATAGAAGTGGGAAAAGTGAACCATCTTCCTTGTGGGTTAACCTGTTTTTTGGAGCTTTTCTCCTGTTTCAGGTCTAAATCTGAACCAAACCACTCCCTCATTCACATCCTAGGATTGCATTTCTTGTGGTGACTTGTTCTTGTTCCTTCTAACGTATTTTAAAGTGACATTTGCCAGACTGTGCAGTGTTGCTGCCACCCCTCACTGAACATGAGTATTGCACAGGTCACCATGTTTGGGAGGGAACTGCAGTGGACCTTGAAAATTAAACATTGTCTATGGGTGATCACACTGAGCTTTTGAATCAGGACAGGAAAAATTGATTGTCATCAAGGAATGAGTATATATATATATATATACATATTTATATATGAAGGCATATGATTGCAAAATATTTACGCGTCCATATTTATTTACTTTAGCTGTTGATGATTTGTTTCATCTATAAGCTAGAGAATATACATTTGTTTTTAATTACTATGCTACAGACTCAGCCTAAAGCCTGAAACCCAAGTCAGGTTGTGTGAAATTCCAGGATTAATACAGCCTGGCTAGGTGGGCTGTTTGTACAGAAATGCACTGGAGCACTACTTAAGCCTTGTGGGAGATGTTCCTTCTGTCAGGTTCACTCTTTTCTACATGAGGTGTGGATTTAAAATTAATTTTGTTTAATTTTATAAATCCTAGCAGTCTCCCCCCATAAACCTGGAGCACACAGTGCACAAAGCAGCGCCTGATTTCTTGTACAGCAAGAAAGAAGTTGCAGAGGTGAGTGCTAACTCCTGGAAGTTGTGCATAAACCTTACTGATGGGGGTTCTGTCCAAGTGCTGGCTCTCTGTAAAACTCATGTTTAGGAAGCTCAAGGCACTGAAAGATAAAATATGTGTAACAAAGGAAATATGGATCTCAGACTGACAGCAAGGGACAAGAAAAGACCCCCAAAGGGCAACATCCATAGATGAAAAAGTGATTTTTGCTGCTCCCTTCAATTCTAAATTCAGCATCTCAACCACTGTGTGGCATGGGCAATAAATTGGATAGAGGAATACCTACGATGATAATGGTTAAGCCTTTCTAAATAGAAGCCCAGCAATCAGCTGTTGCTTTGCTTAAAGTTATCTACAACAAATAAATCTTTTTTTCCCCTTGCAGAAAACTGATCAGGCACAAATCAGTCAGTCAATTGCTTTGTGACTGAAGTCCATAATAGAACAGCTAAAGGCATCTTACATGTTCACAAATTGCTTTGTGATTTGAGGCTTTTGATCTGAAATACTGTGTCAGATTGTTATCACTAATGAAATCCTTATTGTGTTCCTTTGCTTTTGTGTGGCTATTTACCCATGAACAGTCCAACTTTGTGAAGCCATTATATAAAGACTTGTGCAGATTTTGCTTACCTCAAATCTAAAACGAAGTTTTTAAATCTGGTGAGGATTGTTGTTCCCTCCTCCCCTCAATTATACTGTCACAGGGGTTCTGAATTGCAGGAACAACACAGAAAATAACAGAGCTACAATAAGGAGAAGAAAGGGAGCCAAGGCCAAGTTTTTTAATTTTCAAAGCTGTTATCACTCGCTTTTGCTGCCATTAATAACTTGCATGGACGTTGCATTGATCTCTCTATTACCTGTGTTGATATTTCCACACTGTGTGTATTTGTGTCTTCAAAGTCTGGGCTGAATAGAAATCCTAGAACAGAACAAATTAATGTGAGCTCTGGCAGTAACCAAAGAGGCTTGGATAGAGTGAGGATTCCTCTGGGAATAAATATGTACATCTGGGTCATGTATTTAAGCATCCTGTCAGAATCACGTGGGAATGTGGCTTTTCTTGGGGGTTGTTTACTCATGTTACTCTAGATATAAGTTCCCTTATGTTTATTAATTTCAATTCGTAATCTAAATAAACGTAGCCTTAGAACATTTGGTATTTCACAGCACCAAGCAGAAACATCTGATTTCCACTCCCACCCCTGTACCTTCTGCACAGGGTTGTAAAGTGTTCCTCAGGCCTGTGGAGACAAACCTGAATAAAGCAGAACTTGAACTGCTTTGTTAGGGCACAGCATTTTATTTGTGGGGCCTGAAAGGAGCGGCCAGGAAACTCGTGGTGAGTAGGCTGGGGACAACACTCCGAAAGCCTCCTGCAGAACTGATGCTCCATTATCAGGAGCAGATGAGGCAGAAGGAATCTGCTTGGACTTAACTGGACTACTCGACCTGTGATGCTGCAGGTCCTTCTATAGAATATTTACTGATGTTTTAGGAGTAGTTACTGTTTTTAACGATAACAACCTTCTGATAGTTGGTAGTTGTTGGTCTTACAGTTCCAAGGTTGCTGTCATCCCATCACTGAGCTGAGCTCTGATTGCAGGTCACGTGCAGGTCTCCCAACAGGCTGGAAAAGCGGGCATGAATTCGTGATGAGGAGCGTGAGATACATCAGTTAGTGAGGGAACTGAGACACAGCCTGTAATCCAGAGAATTTTTTTTCATTGCTATAGAGAAGACTCCACCAGAATAATAATTAAAACCAACCCAGGGTTATCAGACCATTCTAAAATTTGGGAAGTTTTCTGTTGCAAATAAGGTGCTGCATTTCTTTAAAGTGTTCACAAAGACTAGCAGCTAACAATTACTCCCATGAACACTTAAATTGGTGGGAGATTGAATGGGAATCAGTGCAAGAATACAGCAGTGGATAAAACACTTGAGACCAGGAATTAAACTTTTCAAATACTGAACAAATCAGCCCTGATTAAACACCTTTTTCATCTGCCTATAGACTGTCCTTTGCAGCAGGACCCTTCAATTTGATATCATTAGTCTATTTGAAGAAGACTGGTCTCTCCCCTGTATTGAACCATCAGTCAAATATTTACGGTCCCTTAGCTTGCCTCCATTTTTAGAATTACTCTCAGGAATGAAATGAGAATTCAGCCTCAGCTTTGATGTTTAAGTGTGTCCTGTTGAGCCTGCTAAGCCTGGCTGGAATACAGAAAAACAGAGTCTGTTTTGATCCCTGCTGAAAACTAAAGGAAGAAGAGGGGGAGAGAAAAACAAAACAACAACAACAAAAAAATCTCAAAGCTGAGTTTGGTTTGTGCAAAGCCAGGTTGGGAAAAATTGATCTATTCCATCCTCAGTTAATGAATACCAGCTGTATTAAAAAACCTCACCCAAAATTAAGCTCGGCACTGGTAAGGACATCTCTGGGAAGGATGCTTTTTAAAAAAAAAAATCAGAATTCTACAGTTTTATCAGCTCTGGCAGTTTTTCATTACACAATACAGGTTTGACTGGTGCTGTGTTGGTATGAAGATGACATGGAAGAGCCTGGTAGGTGCCAGAGTTCATGTGACAGAGTTGGCAGAGATGAGAGTTGACAGGGTGAGGCCTCAGCACCTATGCCTGTGACATGCATAACTTATAAGAAAAATTCTAAAAACTTAAACTACAGTAGGAGCTTCAATGATAAATACTCTGAGGCTGCATGTACAAGGAAGGTATGATCCAGCTCTAGGTTTCAAAGTCAGCTAAAGTTAATATGAAATCTATCCATGGGCATCTTTCCATTGTCTTCCATTAAGCAGTGGTAACAGAATTCCCAGCATTGTGAAAAGTCCATGGGGAAGAGGGAGAGAATTCACATGGAAGAGCAGGCTGTTTCTGGGACAGCATTCTCCAGCATGCCTAAATGGAATCCCAGATTCAGGAGACTGTGTTCCCAAGTGCATCGCCTGGAGCTGCAGAGTAAAGCCTTGGTGATCATACCTGCAACTTAGCATGGATCCAAGGGAAGATTTGAACCTGCAGCCTGACTTGGGTCCTGCCAATTGCCAAGGAGAAGCTGTAGAGATGAAGAACAGAAGAGGTATTTAATCTGGGTTGAGAAACCTGGGCTGGAAATGACAGAACCACTACAAAAATAAAAGGGCGTGCGGGATTTAACAGGTAAAAACCCCCTCTCTTTGAGACATTTTATTTAACCTGAAACAAAACCATTTGTATGCATAGGAGGAAGTACCCTCCTATCCTTGCTTCTCTTTTAGCCTTATTTTTCTTGAATTTTAAGCCAAACCCCGGTTAGAAGTGCCCACACGGGCTGCTCTTCTGCATTTCCCTCCTACCGTAACTCGAAAGCGCCCACATTGTTTCCACACTTTCCAAATGTTCCCCCTTAGGTTTTCTTTTTTATCCTGTCTGTCCCCTCCGCCCTTTCCAGCTGAAATCGCTGTCATGTGTTGCGGCAGGTTGCTTTTTTTACCCCGCCGGGCCTGCGCTAGACCCACCCCCCCCCATCCCACCCCCGGGCTCTGCGGGGCCGCAGGTGCGGGGCGGGCGCTCCCGCACCCACACACGGCACAGCCCCCCCTCCTGCGGGACATCCCCGGCTCCGGGGGGAGCGGGGAGCGAGGAGCAGGGCTGGGAACCGCCCTCAGCGCCGGGAACCACCCGCGGGGCTGGGAAGTGCCGGCGGCTCGACCCTGGCTGGTCCCCGCGGGGCGGGCGAGCGGAGGCTGGGGATGCTCGGCTGGTGATGCTGGTGGCGGAGGAGGAGGAAGAGGAGGAGGGGGGGGGAGCTGGCGGGACAGTCTGAGGTGGGCGGAGGGGGGAGGCGGGTGTTATACCATCGCTCCGGGGAAGGGCTGAGCATTTGCAAATCCCGGCTGCGACGCGCGTGGGGAGCATCCTACCCCCGCCGGGCCGGGCAGGGCGAGCTTCCCTCGCTATCCGAACGCCGTCCGCCTTCTCCCCGCCTTCCCCTGGCCGCCTGTGCCGCCCCGTGTCTCCCGTGCGGCGGAGCGGAGAGCGGCAGCCCGGGGCGATCCGCTCGGAGCGCAGCGCTGAGCCACAGCCGGCCCCTGTCCCCGCCGCGCAGGCACGGCCAGAGCCCTGGGTGAGTAGCCCCGGAGCTCCCCTGCTCCTCCAGCCAGGCCACAACCGTCCAGGCCCCCTTCCATCACATCCCCGGCTTCTTCTGCTCTCAGCTGGGCTCCTGCAAGGTGCAGCTCATCCTCTGTCCTCTGGTAGGTTGGTCAAGCTGGGATCCTCGCTTGGGGAGGGGTTTTTGAAAGGCTTCACTATCTGCTGCTGAGTTATCTGTCTCAACTTGGAAATCGACTCCTTCTCTTGTATATAAGCTTCTCTTTTCCCCACCTTTTTCCTTTTTTTTTGCCCGCTTTACAACTTTTCCAGCTTCCTTCATTTGTATCTGCCAATTTACATGGGCAATAAGAAGCCAATGACACGCTGAGAGACTTTAGTCATTGAAGATTAGTACTAGCAAGTGTCTTAAAACACCCGTGTGCTTTCCTTTTGTTCTCCCCTAGGCTGAAAAGTCATGACAGCTGAAAAGACTATTCCTATAATTAATGGCAAGCCAGAAGATGCTTTGGACCCAGAAGCCTCAAGCACCAACCTCGTCCACAGCAACGATAAGAAAGTTCATGAAAGAGGTCACTGGAACAATAAAGTTGAATTTGTGCTTTCTGTGGCAGGGGAGATTATTGGGTTGGGAAACGTGTGGAGATTCCCGTATCTTTGCTACAAGAACGGAGGAGGTAAGATGGCATCATGTGTTGATTCAGTGCTCGCCATAAACGTGGGAAATAAACAGTTAAGGACACTTTGCAGTGATTTATTGTGCTAGGAAGAGATACGAGCTCAAGTTTTCAGCATATGTGCAGAGAGGGAATTATAACACATCTGACAACTAAGAGAAAAGTCATATTTCTCTTTCCTTTTCTACAAAGACTGTGTGGGTTACTTTTACGAGTTGCTTTCATGTTAATAAATGGCTGTATTTTTTTTCTGTGAGATTTTTGATGTAGAAGAAGCCAGTGGTCCCTTAGAGTAGTCCTGTGTTTTCTTCTGCATGGGAATACAGACCCAAGCATACTTCAGTAAGTTTGTCTGACACAGGAAAGAATGTAACAGTTTATTTTTCAAGCAGAATACTTTGGAGAAGATGAATATATTTTTCTGATTGGGCTACAAAGATGAAATTCTTCGTCATGTGGAAATTTTTGTAACTCAATGTACTTGTTTTCTTCCTCAGTACTTCCCCTTCTTCCTACAGTAAAGTAGGGGAACATGTCAAAACTGAAGGTTGCTCAAAGAAGAGAGCAAACCCTAATAAATTTAAAATGTGAATACCATTTGAGAGAGAGAAAATAGCAGACTTAACTTGTACAGAAATAGGAACACGAGGCCCGTAGTGGTCATAGTTAAGTATAAACTGTGTAAGATATGTGAGAGTTGAGAATAAGCACATCAGCTGCGACTTATGAAGCAGTGAGGAAAGAGAAGTAAATCAAAAACTCAGTTTAGAATTCTGTGGCCTGGGTTCAGCATTCTCCCCACTTAAGGCAGAGTGAGTGTAACAACACAGGCTGGGAGAAAAACTGAATTTTCAGTGGCTGATGTGCAAAGATCCATTCCGGGAAGGGTTTCCTTTGCTAACAACGCTGTGCCAAATTTATTTTCCCTGTCCCTCCTTGTCTAAACTCAGGGATGGGTTTGGCCCATTTTGTCTGCTGTTTCTCTAAGACTAATAGTGCTGTGGAAGACCTGTTTGTTTGTAGCACCTTTCTCTATATATCTGTACTTGGGCAAAACTAAGAGAGCAGGAGTTCACCTCTTTCCAGAATGATGTTACCAAATACTGCTGTGAGTGCATAAATATTAATATGCTGGGTATGATATACAGGACAGTTTCTTGTTTTTTGTCAAAGTGTTCCCAGAGAACTTTTGGAAGAGTTAAAAATAGAAATGTCTTTTTGGTGTGTAGTTTTCTTGTCCACACAGCCACCTTTCTGTGTCCGTTTGTACGTATGTGCTACCTCGTCCAAAGGGGATGCTATCATTTTATAATGAAAGAATTCTAATCATGGGTTTGACTTATTTCATGAAAAATTATGTACTTAAATATCCTATTGAATCACCACTCTATCCTTTAAGAATAGTATTAGTGTGTGTGATCTAATTGGTCGTGTCCTGGCACCTCAGGAAACTGGCCATTGACCAGTTTTATTCAACGAAGGTTTGGTCTGTGACCTGTGGCTTTGTAACTCTCTGGAGTGCCCTGGTAGAATTAGACCAGAGTTTGTTTTCAGTGTTTACATCTGATGCACCAAACTACTTCGTGTGTGGCAAGTGAAGACAATGGTAAAATACATTAACTGGTCATGAAATAACTTGCTAGATACAGAACAAACCTAGGAGCTGTAGTATGGAACTTGGGAGGTCTGACCTCCCTCTGACACTTCCTCTGAGTTGTAACAGGCAGTGTAGGCATAAGCTTCTGCAATTTTAGGTTGTTCCTGTAGATATTTATTTAGTGGTTCTAGGAAAATTAATTTCTTTGTATTACAATTAGGCTTTTCTTGGAACACGATCTTTTTTTACAAGCAGGGAAACCTGATTTTCATGATGGATACCTGTGGTAGAACAGTGTTGGAAAAATAGTCAAAGCAAATATTTTGGATTTCAACAAGTTGCCATGTTAAACTCGCCATGATTGTGAGCTGGTTGGGATACTGGCCAGCATTTCACCTGTTCTGTACAGATCTTGCTCAAAACAACATGCACAGTAAATTATACAGAGAAGTCATGTTTTAGCTGTAAGGATTCCATTCTTTGTGAAATCCTCATGGATTGCTTGAGAGGCAGATGAGATCCAGCTATAGAAAAATTTCCTGGCTGAGGGAAGAGACTACTTATGAAGAGATCTCTGGTGCTGTGCTGGCTCTGAAGAAAGAAATTGCAAATGAAAGCAACTGGTTTTAGTGTCTTAACTTTCTAATCAAGGTGACTAAAGCACAGCAGTTGTTACTGGTTGTGTTTGAGTTTTGATGTGGTTCATAAGCTATTCTGGAGTTTGCTGTGGGCATCTCACAGAATTGTTGATGCTTTGTTATTTTCCTATAATTTCACATTAATGTTTCTAGCTGATCAAGCCAAATCCTGCTTTCCTGGTCTTGTAAGTAGTTCTAAAGTCTGTTCCTTTTCCATCATCTTTATCATCAGGCTTATGTAAATAATATGCAAAGGATTTTTGGGGTTTAATTTCCTCATTCCTGAAAAAGCAAGGAAGAGAAGAGAGTGTAGACTGACGTGGTGATGATCAGTGCAAAACTTTGTGGCTGAGCAAGACTGTGATCTTTTCTGTGTTTGAGAGACACATGAGCAGACTTTAATTTATGCTGGGGAACTTTGATCTGGCCTGTTTTAGTCCAAGACATTGGCTTACAGGTCAACTTTTGATATTTGGGACCGAGAGTAAATGCTTCCTGCACTGCCAGCTTGATGCCTGAGAGACAGCTAAGAAGTGATCCTTCCTTTACCAGGAGAACTCTCACTCTGCTGTCAAGGAACTGCATTTGTTATAACCAACACCCACTCACTATTTCCTTGTAGGTGCTTTCCTCATCCCATATGTGGTCTTTTTCATTTGCTGTGGAATCCCAGTGTTCTTCCTGGAGACGGCCTTGGGACAGTTCACTAGTGAGGGAGGCATTACATGCTGGAGGAAAGTTTGCCCTCTATTTGAAGGTAACAAACTATTCTGTGTTCTACTGCAAAAACATGCATTGAACTTGGGGTAAAATGAAATAAATTGTATCATAATTGAAGTTAAGGTATAGTCAAAATAGTAAGCATTTGTTTTTAGATTACCTGCAAAGTAGCAGTTTTCTCTCGTGTCTCACTGTTTGTTGTTTTTTCTCTAGGCATTGGCTATGCTACCCAAGTGATAGAGGCACACCTAAATGTGTATTACATCATTATTTTAGCATGGGCTATCTTCTACTTGTTTAACTGCTTTACTACAGAGCTTCCCTGGGCTACCTGTGGGCATGAATGGAATACAGGTATGAATCAGTAGAGATTATCCCTATACAACAACCTTCCAAAGGATTGATTCATCTATTAAAATGCCATGAACAAAACTATTCCTGTAGAATAGTCACTGCAAATGGGCCAATCACATCCCGTGGTAAATCTGGAGTGAAAACTTATTCATACCTTTTTGGTTTAGGTCATTGTGTAAGCATTTGTTCCTGTAGAATATAATGCAGAAGAAGATGATTTTGGATTTTTTTAAATTCAGTAAGATATTGTGACTAACTCCCAAGACTCTTATTTGCAATCATGCGTATTCTCCCCAAACACAGCGAGTGAATTCTGCTGCAGAGATGGACCTGATGACAGGCTGCAATCTTGCTCTTTCACTCTAATGAAATCAGGAGGCATTTGAATGGAGAGAAAAACACTAGATGTGGATCTTTGGATTTGCTCTTTTAAATGCCAGGTGTTGAGGGATAATGTTCATCAAGCTGCTTCTGGAAATTTAGTAGCAGAAATAATCCTTACAGCATGCAAAGTAGCCTCCTGCACGAACGAGGAGGTGTGTGTTTGTGAGAGTTTGCAGCACAGGGCTCTTCATCTGTCTCCTCTCATTGAGATTTTGATATGTAATTCTCTGCTTATTGCATTTATAGATCATCACAAACACCTATGGGGAGGATTTCCTACCGGTGCCCTTATTTCCATGTTCCTAAAGTTTGTGTTTTTATTCCCCAAATCACTGTCCTATTTCAAACCACCTACCAACTGTACCGTCTCTCATGTCTATTTGTTAAATGGTCTTTGTCACGGCCTTTGAGCACACCTAAAACTGCCTGAAAGGTTACAGCTTATGTTAGGGATCTACTCCTGAGCCCAATGCATGTGGAAGGCTTTGGTATCAGTTCTGGCAACCCAGCAGAGGAGCTTGGCTGATGCTGGTTGCTGTTCAAATACAACAGCGCTGAGCTGCTTTGTCCTCCTTTCTCTGTGCTAGAGATGATAATAATAAAAAGCCAGAGGAATTATTCACTTGCCATATTAGGGCAAAGTGGAAGCTCGTTGCTGGCCGTGTGCCATAAGCCATTTGTTGCCATAAGCAACAATGAGCTTGGAATATGCAGTAATTCCCAATCCATTGACTCAACATATCTTTTGGCCTGAGGGGTTCTATTGGCCCTTGCCATTGAACTGTGCCTTTGGGAAGTGTTACAGGAGCAACAGTCCTCGTGGATATTTTCATGGGGTGGGCCTGTGGTCTGGTGATCAAAACACAGCGTTGCACACACAGCAAATGTGTTGTAGAATGGTGACTTCACAGGATGCATGGACAAGAAAAAATTTACTTGCGTGTCAATATAACAAACTCTTTTTTTTTTTTTTGTTCTTTTATAGAAAACTGTGTGGAGTTTCAAAAACTTAATATGAGTAACTGCAGTCAAGTCTCTTTGCAAAATGCCACGTCTCCAGTGATGGAATTCTGGGAGTAAGTGCACATGAAATTTATGTTTGATCAGACCATTCATTATCTTCCAATAACTCGATTGTTTACACTTGATTAGATACCTTGTAACCCTATAGCACCGAGTGATGTGAGTTCAGTTGGAAATTTTCTTATACAGCCAAAGGGAATCAGGATGAGGGGTTTTAACTCCTTTTTTTTTTTTTTTTTTAAGAGAAGGGGTTTTTTTAACTCTTTTTTTCTGCAAGGAAAGGAATTCCATATCCTGAAAGAACATAGAACAAAGTGTGCTACTTGCTCGGGAGCTTGGCTCCTGCTGCTGGAGGAAAGAGCCTCAAACCCATACTAATGAGGAGGCAGAGGTGAAAGAAAAAAAGAGGAGGATTTCAAATATTTTTTATTTTTCTTTTCCAAATGTTTCTTACCAATTTGAGAGTTGCATCTTCATCCTTGTTTCAGCTAACTAATACTCTGTCTTCTGTATCTCATTATATTTTAAAGCACTATGTAAGTGTTAGTTATTCAGCTGGAATAATGGGAGAGTTTAACTCTCTCGTGTCTCCTGGATTCTGATTTCTAGTTAGACTGTTAGAAGAATTTTATATCTTTGCAAAGTATGGTCTGCTTTTGTAGTGGCTTTTTTATTTTTTTTTGCTCACAATAAATATTTAATCAATGCAGTTCAGTCGTATATTTGTTTCTTGCAGGGCTCAGTGTGTGTTCAGACAGTCAGAGAAACCGAATGTTACTTTTAATACTCAGTGATCTCACGATTTAATGGGTGTTACACAATTCTGGGTAACTAGAATTTCTTCAGGACCTGTTAATTTTATTGTTAAGACAGAGCCTTAATCTAAGGCTGTATGTTTAAGGCTCTGTTTTATGTTCAGGACAGCAACAGATACATTTTGAAAGAACTGTGAATTAAGAGTTTCCTTGAAGGGGGAACTCCACACTGACACAATTACCTTGAATATTAGCATGTGCTATTGTCTCTCTCTGTCTTTTTGAACCTCTTTGTCTTGCTACGTCAGATAATTTTAGCAATACTGCTACTTCCTTAGCAGTAGTTGTTGCTTGAGTAAATAATACTGTTTTATTTAAAAACAAAATAAATTTAAAAACCCCAAACAGACTAAACTATGCATAAACTCCCTCGGTAAAATTGTAACTTCCTTTTCTGTTAAAATTTTCAATAATATGAACACACCTGAAATATTAAATCAAAGCATATCAACTCTACCCACTTCCCAGATAACATTTCAGAATAAACAAGAGTTTCTCAGGTGGCATCATTTATTGCTATGACTTCATCATTTCACTAAAAATATCTTATGGTTCTTTAGGATAAGTAGAATTAAGATTTCGTATCATTAGTGTAAATGAGGAAAGTATTTTCTGGTACTAACCTAATTTATCTGCTGTATTTTTTTTGCTTATTCAAAAATATTCACAACTCGGCCACTCATGGTAGCTCCAGTTACCCAGAGAAGTAAGCAACATTTAATTGAATTATATGGAGGGCACAGACTAAGTTTTATCTCCTCATTTTTCTAGGGTTTTTTGGGGTTTTGTCAGTGCTCAGCTTTGGATTACCTGAATTTCTATGTCAGTTTATTTTGATGTACATACAGATACATTTTAAGTATGTCCCTTCTCAGAGTCCTCTAAGAATGAAGCCTAACATGCTTCTACAGCTAAACTTGAATGAAAATCCTTCAAATCTGGGGCATATTTGCCTACCTGATTTTGCCTAAGTTAGGAATGGTTTATGAAACTAGAAGGGATAATCAGATTTAGTCTTTTCTCTAACTTATTTTACAATCTCATGTATACGAAGTTGAAAACACACACTCTTACACTTTAAAAATAAAAAAAAAAAATTAAAAAGAGAAGTTAAAAAAATAATTTGTCATTTATTTGGAACTTCTTTCTTTATTGGGCTATGGACAAACTTTTCATAATACCAGCAGCCTGCTGGCTAAAATAGCTTAAGACACTAAACTTAGCTACTTTCTCCAAGCAAAACTGAAGTTGCCCAGTTTTTCACTCTTAGGAAATAAATGTAGTCCCTTCCTGCTGAGAAAATTGTTTGCCTTTAAATTATTTGTTAAAATTTAAGTAGGTATGATGCTGCATGTCTTCAAAATTTGAAACAGAAATGACACCCTAGTTTGAGAATGAGCTTTAATAAGTATCAGGACTGATGTTGCATTAAAATAACTAACTGGAATTAAGAGAAGATTGTAATTAATTATGTGTCTTAAATAGCAGATATAAATGCTCAGTGGAGGTTTTTATGTATAGATGTGCAATGCAGATGAGAGAATAATTAATACAAAGTAACCTAGGCTAGTTAATTTGTCCAGAAAATCGCCATCTGATCTGTAGATAAGTGTTACCAGCAACGTTATTTCACTTAACCAGAGGTCTGGCTCCTGCCATGCTGCTTTACTACTTCGTAAATTCTGATGTTGGGAGCCATAAATTGATTGAAAGACTTGTTGAAACAAATAGTGAGAGGAAAGTTGCTGGTGTGGACTGCACTGAGCGTCTGCTCTTTGCTATTTTTGGAGCTGGTGTTGACAGAGTGTGAGAATCCTCAATCCCCAGTCCCAGAACTGAGTTCATTTGCATAACGACCAGGTTCCTGACAAGTAATTAAGGTGGTGCCTGTGAGGGGAAGGCTCTGGGTTTCTCCTGAACAACCTTGCATTCGGAACATTTACACTTTGCCACGTTAAGGCTGCGATTGAAATGTCTCTAAATTGTGGCCCTATACAGCCAAATTATTGGGTGAGGGGTCAGCTGTGGGGGGGAAAAGTTTGTGGCTTTTTGTGTGTTTTGGGTTTTTGTTTGTTTTTTTTGTGGGGGGTTTTGTTTGTTTTGAGGTTTTTAAATTATTTTGTTTTGGTTTTTGTTTTGGGGTTCTGTTTTGGTTTTTGTTTGGTTGTTTTTTTGGGGGGGGGATATCTGTTACAATCCAATCTTGAGTTAATCTGTGGATTAAAGTGGTAATTATTGTGAATAGTGATCCTATTTACTTACTGAATTAGGAGTTCATTTTCACGTAGGACTCAATACTGCTTTTGTAAACTGTCAGGCTGATGTTACAGCTTTCCTTTGATAGCATCTTACCACAGTCTTCTATAGTAGTTGCAGTATCTTCAGGATTTTTTTTTAATTAAACCCAACCTAACAAGAAAAATGCTTGGGGAAGCCTCAGTAATTCCCCAGTGCATATTTTAGCAGTGCTCTGTGTTGCTTTGAAGCCCAAAGCTCTCAGTGTCAGAGTTATCAATGCTGAGGGATGTGCAGGTTGCTGCGTATCACACAGAATTTACATTATGTAAGTGCAGGGGAACAAGTTGGGTTTGGTTTTGTCTGTGAAGAAATGAATACAACAGGCCCAAAAGAATGCCTTTATTTCTGGCTTTGAAAAGGAGTCTTCTCTCTTTTAACCTGTGCTACTGTGTCTTTTTTATTATCTAGTCTATAAGACTCAACCCCTATTTGCTCGTGACTGGAAGCAAATCCAAGTCCTCAGCTGGGCTGAGGGTTGCAAACAAAGCCTTCAGCCTTTCTGCTGAAATATTTGTAGCTTTTGTTGCTTCTGTGGCCTTGGTTACTCCTGAATCTATTCCTCCAGTCGAGCAACATCTCCCCCATGTGCAGTGATGACTGAGAGGATGTTTTGCTGTATTATGAAGCTCTTCTGGCCTTCAGACCAAGAGTTCCCCTTCCTCAGGTCTGTACAGAGGATGCTGCCTCTGATACTTCAGCATTCTCCACCTGCTTTGGTAGCTGCGTCACCCGGAGGCTTAATTATTGTCCTGGATGGGTTGTTCTTTGTTTAAAAAGCAACAAAAGACCGTAGAGATAAATACTGCAATAGGTCCTAAATGCCTTTTGCTACACTCAGAGGAATCTCATTGCACATGCAGCAAGTTCAAAACTTAAAATATTTTTCTCAGCCTGCGATTGATAACTGCCTGTCTGCAGCTCTGCAGTGAAAAGGGTCTGATCCTGCTGCAGGAGCAGCAGGCAAAGTTTGGGAGTTTGGACACTCTTTTCTTGTTTTCCTGCTTAAAAAAGGCTATGGCTGTTAATGTTTTAAATGTGAACAGACTCACCACTGACCACTGGTATCAATGCTGACAACTGGGAAAAATTAGATTTAAGGATTTCTTACCTTAATTCAAAGGCCATAGCCTTGAGAAGTCTCACATTCCATCTTCATGTACAGCTTTTTAAGGTAAGCAGCTAAATAGGGAACAAATCACTTCTTCAAACTCTCTGTTGCTGTGTTCCACAGGACAGGCAAGAGTCTGAAGCTTCACTTTTCACTTCTAACCGGTGCCAGCATTCAGAGAATGGCCTATTGACTCCCATTTACGGCCTTTGCCTCATCTGTTGCTTAAGGATTTTCAGAGAAAAAGTAATAATCATAGTTTCAAGGCACAGCACGTGGAATTTTTAGCGTCCAAACTTTAAACAGTTAATAGTGGCACCTGCAGTGTTGATAATTCCTGATATGTTGAAGCAGCCCAGCGAAAGAGAGCTGTGGCATCAGGTAAGGTTGTATTTACAGCCTGGGAAACAGAACAGAAAGGAGAGGATACTCTGCTCCATTGTTTTTTCTGCTTTCCTAGGAGAAGAAATTGCCTGGCAGGTGTGGGGGGCATCAACCATGTCTGTGTGCTCTTTTGGCAGCTACTCGAGTCTGTCACCATGGTCAGGAATTGGAGGTTTCCAGTGCCTGGGAAAGGAGCTGGACAGAAAGAGGACCCGTGGTTGATTCCACCTCAATAGTTTTTTTTATTGGCTGTGTAACAACAACTTAGTCCTCTGTTAAAGAAGGTCTAGTTGTTGGCCTGTCACTCTCTGGAGAGGGTGACACATCCTTAGCGTTTCCAAGTAAAGCCTAGTGAGAAAAAAAAAAGAAAAACATTGTTTTTGTCTGGGGAAAAGAAAAGGGGCTGTTCTCAGCAAAAAGGGAAAAGGCACAAACCCGTTCCTTGCAA